GAGAGCCAAATTGCCAGACTGCGGCAGGAGTTTCAACTTGAATGTACTGATCTCCGCTCGCGACTCGAAGACGTGGAACGGCAGCTTACTGGACCTGTTGGTCCCTCTGTGCACCGCTACACTTCCGGATCCATGTCGATTGAGAGTCCTTCCAATGCTAATGCGAGCACGATCAACGAGAACCTATCCAATGTTGAGGTGGAGGTTGCTGATGATCAGAAAGGAGATTGTTTTGTAACAATAATCATACTCCTCTGTCTTTACAAATGTTGGGGATCCAGTTACGAATCTAGTCGACACGTTTTTTTGAGTGCGAGGAGAAGTGGCAGAAGAAATGACAGAAATTCGGTTTGAAGAGAGCATTTGGACGGTGCCTTTGCTGTTGGGTGTTGCGGAGCTCCCTCTTGGGTGGTTTGACAGCCTTTTCGCTACCGTGCTCGTGTTGCTCAACCTGACCATGCAATCGTGCTTCACGGCCATTCTGCTTACACGTGCTTTCATGGGCGATGCTTTTGAAACGAAGGTTCGTGCTGCGGAAGTCTGGCGCAACAGTGTGGCACATGATTTCAGGCACCTGGACCTGGCGGACACAAGCCTGGTGTCGCGAGTGTGTCTGGGGGATGAGGCCCTCATTCTCTCGACGACCCAAGCAACTTTGATCGAACATATCAATGGTTTTCTTGGCTTGGAAAGGGCGCAGTTCGTTCTTGGGAGCTTCCAACCCGGCGTTCTGCTCTGCATGCTCTGCATCGTCCTGTGGACACTGTGCGTGTACAAGGTCCGTTGCTGTGGGAAGGGGTTTGGTGACAGTGAATTCAACCAAACATGTGGATACCCCGACCAATCATCGGCCCCGAAGTAATTTCCAGACCCGAATCCCGAACCCGAGACCTCAAGCAGAAAGCTGGCCGCTTGCCTGGAGGAGTTCCGGTTGATATGGACGCAGGCGGAGATCGCCTGTGCCATTCCGACGTCGCAGAGGACATCCAATGTTCAATAGGGAGTGTTAAGATTCTGCGGGTTCCCAGATAGACAGTCTGAGAACGGGAAGTGGGAAAGCTACAGTGGTTCCTGCGGTTGCAAGTGCATGCCCCAGAAAGAACAGATGCCCCATATTCGGGCAA